GTTTGAGATGCTTTCGTCGTCAGGGTCACATTTCAATTGCAAATATGCTTCCAAAACACACTAAAAAGTGAACGGATCTACTGCAGAAAGAGGCTTAACAGAACTGCAAGGACACCATGAGACATTCATTCCTTCATTAATTTTCCTTTTTCGGCCTAGTTTTATTATTCATAGGAGGCCACAGTGGAATGAACTGCCAACTTTCATTCATTCATTCATTTGCTTGTCGGCTTAGTCCCTTTATTAATCCGGGGTTGCCACAGCGGAATGAACCGCCAACTTATCCAGTAAGTTTTTACGCAGTGGATGCCCTTCCAGCCGCAACCCATCTCTGGGAAACATCCACACACAGATTCACACACACACTCATACACTACAGACAATTTAGCTTACCCAATTCACCTGTACCACATGTCTTTGGACTGTGTGGGAAACCGGAGCATACGGAGGAAACCCATGCAAAGGCTGGGAGAACATGCAAACTCCACACAGAAACGCCAACTGAGCCGAGGTTCGAACCAGCGTCCCAGTGACCTTCTTACTGTGAGGCGACAGCACTACCTACTGCGCCACTGCCTCGCCAACTGCCAAATATAGCATATGTTTTATGCAGTGAATGCGCTTCCAGTTGCAACCCATCACTGGGAATAATCCATACACACTCACTCACACACATACACTATGGACGATTTAGCTTACCACATGTTTTCGGACTTGTGGAAGAAACCGGAGCACCTGGAGGAAACCAACACCAACACGGGGAGAACATGCAAACTCCACACGGAAATGACAATTGGCTGAACCAGCGACCTTCTTGCTGTGAGGCGATTGTGCTAATCACTTCGCCATCTTGCTACCCACCATGAGATATACTGTACACAATCCATACTGCGTTACATACTTTAAAGACACGAAGAGTAGTCACAGAACTGAAATCACTATTGAAAAGCACATGTGTACACTGGGGAAACAAAATCTGTAATGTTTACAGTAAGAAAAAGAAGAAAAATGTCAACACAGGCTCATTCTGAAAATGCAGCCCTATATACATTTCTAGAGATTATGAACTATGTAGCTAGAAGTACGTATGGCTCATTTGGTCTGAATGCAACGAGACAGTATAATGCCATTTCATTTCACGCTATCCAGATGACCGCTTACCTCTGTTTGGACGGCTTTCCTGCTGTTACCAGTTTGTCCAGTAGCTCAAGACAAACTGGTCTATCGGCTCTTTTGAAAAAACTATTGGTTGGGTTTAGGGAAGGAGGATGGTGGGTCAGTCGATCTGTCAGTCGACAGCGGCCTCTGGTGGATTTACACGAGAACAGCCGATGAGAATGGCACTCGTGAAAGAAAATTGAGTTCTGAAAAAGTGTACACAGCAGCCTTTGGTGGATTCGCAAAAACAAAAACGTAGCTCCTGGGATGTATTTGCCGCTCTCTAGAAATGTATACAGGGGTACGTTTTCAGAATGAGACTGAAAAATGATAGCTGTGGTTGTATTTAATGTAAAAAAAATTAAAATACTGAACCGATGATCTAAAATAAAAGTCTGATAAACTGATGAGGGGGAAAAACAGTGAAGTAAAAAACAAAAATAAGAAGTAACGCAGAGAATTTGGAAAATCTGTTTACTGGCTGTAGAAGAACATGACAGATTTTTACTGTAGATTTTTTTAACGTTTTATTTATGTTATAATTGCAACATTTTTTTTGTTTGTTTACAGTTGGCATCGTACACTTGTAATCAGAAGCTGCTAATTTCTAAGGGTCTAAGAGAAATATGTTTTCAAACAACAACAAAAACACATTTTTTTCAATCAATCAATCAATCAATCAATCATTAATATAATATAATATAATAATTTCAATCAATTAAAATAAAATAAAATAAACAGCAACTGTCATCCATCAATATAATATAACATAAACAGTAACTATCATTCATTTTGGGTGATGCAGTGGCGCAGTAGGTAGTGCTGTCGCCTCACAGCAAACAGTGGATGTTTATAGAGATTAAAACTAATTCATTAATTCGTTTTTGACTTAGTCCCTTTATTAATCCTGGGTCCCCACAGCGGAATGAACCACTAACTTATCCAGGACGTTTCTATGCAGCGGATGCCCTTACAGCCGCAGTACATCTCTGGGAAACATTCACACACACTCATACACTACGGACACCTTAACCAACCCAATTCACCTATAGCTCATGTATTTGGATGTGGGGAAAACCTGAGTACCCGGAGGAAACCCTTGCGAATGCAGGGAGAACATGCAAACTCCACACAGAAATGGCAAATGACCCAGTTGAGGCTCTAACCAGCGACCTTCTTGCTGTGAGGTGACAGCACTACCTACTGCGCCACTTTGTCGTAGTATTTCTTTTTTCTGTTAAAAATAAAAATAGATATTTTAAGAATGTTGGAAACTGGTAACCATTGACATTGAGAGCAGGAAATAAACACAAAAGGTAATCAATGGCTTCTGGTTTCCAACATTTTTCAAAATACCTTTTTTTTTGTGGTCAACAGAATAAAGAAACTCATAAAGCTCTGGAAAAAGTGGAGGAAGACTAAAAAAAATACAGAAGTACATTTTTTTGGGTGAACTGTCCCTTTAAAAGACTTTGTTTAACACTTTCCTGGACAGCACGGTGGCTTAACACTGTCGCCTCACAGCAAGAAGGTCGCTGGTTCGAGTCTCAGCTGGGCCTGTTGGCATTTCTATGTGGAGTTTGCATGTTCTCCTCGTGTTTGTGTGGGTTTCTGGGTTGCAGCTGAAAGGACATCCACTGTGTAAAACATGTGCTGGAATAGTTGGTGGTTCATTCCGCTGTGGCGACCTCTGAAATTGAGACTAAGCTGAAGAAAAATGATTGAATGAATGCTTTTCCTGAATTTATGATTTATAGTACTTGTTTAAGTTAAAACACACACACACACACACACACACACACACACAAACATCTACATACGACATTCATTCATTCATTTTCTTTTCGGCCCAGTCCCTTTATTAATCTGGGGTCGCCACAGCGGATTGAACCGCCAACTTATCAAGCATGTTTTACACAGCAGATGCCCTTCCAGCTGCAACCCATCACTAGGAACCACCAATACACTCTTATTCACACTCATTTACTACTGACAATTTAGCTTCACCTGTACTGAATGTCTTTGGACTTGTGGGGGAAACCGGAGCACCCTGAGGAATTTTACTGAAAAAATCTATTTAAATTTTGTTTATATATATATATATATAAAACAATTACAAACATACAACAACGACACAATAACACTTATCAAGACAACAACATAAGTTAAAAGTTTAAAAACCAAATTAGCCCCATGCACAATACTGCAAATCATTCTTGGTAACCACCTCATTCACTACAAACATTGATCCGGTTTAGAACAACAACTGCCATTGGGATAAATGACTTTTATAGGCATTTCTTCGTGCTTTAGGAATTCTAAACCTGCGTCCTGATAGTAGCAATTCAAATGCTGAGTGAAGGGGATGTGTATTATCTTTAAAAATCACAACTGCTCTTTTTTTCCATAAAAGAGTCAAATAAAATCTGCAATGAATGCTGTTTGTGACCAGTTATCTTATTTTCCTTGATTGATAATTTGAGCTAATTTCTTTTTCTGTTTAGGTGTTGTGTTACCAAACCATGAAACAATATTATATGTGAGAACACTTTATATAAGAGATGTATATGCCAAGTTTAAAGTCTGTGTACTAAAAACTTGGCATATAGATCACTTATAGAGAGTGTTCTCACACACACACACACACACACACACACATATATATATATATATATAATCAGAAATATATATTCTTATATATATATATATATATATATATATATATATATATATATATATATATATATATATATATATATATATATATATATATATATATATATAATTTTTTTATGATATAATCCTTTTGTATGTGTGTGTGTGTGTGGTCCAGGTATTCATCACTTTACAGCAATACAATTTATTGTTGACGTTGTGGGGACATCACATCTCCATAAATCAAGCACAATGCACTATTAAAAACGTCCCGCATAATTATCCCTATTAGGGTTGCTTTACGTTGTCACATTTAGATTTGCCCGTCTGAAAAGAGCCCACTCTTTATTTGATCTTGTTGAGTAGCAAAGCTCGCATTTTGTTCAGTGCGTCGATATCACACAATATCTATACGTCGATGTCTATACGTCGATGAAATTATACATATAGCCAACACCATAAAGATCTTGAGTCATCCAATCACGTCTTCTTCATGTAGAAGATCCCGCCGATATTTCCAGCAGATACAGAGTCTGCATGCAGTCATTTTTATTACTGATGTTATCTGAAGTGTTTAGTTTTTTCTCTCAGATAAAGGAGAGAAAGAGCTGAGAGCGCCTTTGTGCGTCCATCACACGCTGACAGCAGCGGCGGCGGCAGCTCCGTTGCGCGCTCGGCGCTAGGATCCGGCGGATCTCTCTCTCTCTCTCTCTCTCTCTCCCCCTCTCTCTCTCTCTCCCTCTCTTCCAAGCCTGTTTTAAAGTCTCTGCCAGACTTCAGCTCATGCGCTACTTCCTGGATGGCGGAATGGAAAGCTTCCAGAGCCGCTCCAACTCAACTCTTGTCTCTGTGTTTTGAGCCTGACGCATGGACTACAGCCCCCCTAACATCTCTCTTTATCCACAGTCCCCCTGACACGTTTCTCTCCTGGACTACAAGCTCAGTCGTCTGAAAGAAAAAAAGGAAAGAGAGAAAAGAAAAAAAACTGCTTCCTTTGGTTTAGTCGAACTTCAAAAAGAAAAAAAAATCTCTCCAAAAGGACTCGCTGTTGGAGGCATCCGTCAAATCGTGTCCGTCGCGTACGCACCGCTTGTTTGTGGGAGTTTTTATTTATTTTTTTCGCTCGCCAGGAGGATAAACTCTGTCAACAGTTGCCTTATTCCAGATCTCCATGTATACAGTGTGACATGCGGAGGCTACTGCGACCGCGCTGCTGCTGCTGGTGGATTCCGCCTCTGCTTTTCTCATCGCTCGTGCTCCGGTGGGCACACTGTCATCCCGGTAAGTTGGATTCCGAGGTGGATGGAAATGTGTTTCAAATCGCTGTCGTTTTCGATCTATTGCATTGGATGTGGAAACGTTCTTTAATTAAAACCGAACGTGAGGATTTTTTTTGTATGTGATCTTCTTTTCTTTTTTGTAACCCTCCTCCAGTTGTAAGTCAAGGAATTAGGACGATCTAACGCGGGAATCGTAACGCACATCATGACGTGTATTGATATTGCAATATCCACAAATGATCCGCTGCTGTTATTTATACGAGCTCGGACCCGTTATTTCTGAACAATGCACTCAGATCCGTTATTTGGAAACACGTTAGTGTATTTTCTTTCCAGCGTGCGTTATGACATGTTTGAATATTAATGCACAGTTGAGTCATTCTGAAGCATAACTTGGAATACACTTCCACATGCATTTTATTTTAATTGATTTTATTTCATTTGAATTTCAGTTTTTATAAGCACGTAGTGTTACAGAGAGACCAAATTACAGTTCAGTAGTTTAATACATTTACACTGTTAGTCAGTTATCAGCTCTTTAAAATCTGGTGACACCATTTTATGGGTCTCAATAATAACATCCGAGAAAATAATTAAACTACTAAGTCGTCAGCAAGAAACTTTATTGTTTACAAGTACAATACTTAATTACTCATAACTTTAAATTAAAGCTGTATATTTTCATTCAATCAAAAAGAGTTAAGCAGTGAACAACAATAGCGAACATCTGAATACTTTAGATAGACTGTTTAATTGTTGTAGGGTCATGATTTGTAATCACTATCGTGTCAAAAATCATAAATGACAACAATATGTAGGCTGCGCGCATTTAATATTTGAGAACAAAACCTGAAACATTGTTGGCTATTCTACATATACAATAAGCATGCGCTTAATATTGTTTCGAAACAGTTTTGGGGTCAGTTGAGAAATGATTGGTTTAAATGTATTTTATTTAGAGCTCTTTATATAGTGATGTTCAATAGGATTGATAACTAAATATACACTAACAGTCCTGCGTGGAAAAAATCAAAAGTCTGATTTAGAGGGGGCTCGTCCGGGATTTTTAAACCTATTTGATAGCATCTTGTTTAAGATGACCTTGAGGGTGTGAGTGATAGGTGAGGATCTCTCTGGCTCTTTTTGCTGTGGTGATGATGATGATGATGATAGGAAGAAGCCTGAGATGCATTTCAACCATGAGGAGGCTGATAAGCTCTGCATATTTGCATGAGTTTTTATGTAACGCTGGAGGCGTCTAGTCTAACGTGCAGTTCCAGCAAGCATGATATTCTCTGGTCTTTAAATCAGACAAGTGCAGGAACTATCAGTGCCATTTTAAACCAAATCCCATCCTCTTTGCAGACACGAAATGAGTGACAAGAAAGCTGTAAACAATTTGCGGTGTGTATTGCGTTTTTTTATGCAATGCGTACACCCAAAGCTACAATGTGTTAGCAGATCTTATTAAAACACCAGAACACATTGTGTTTATCTTCCATCTTTCCATCTATCTGATATCTCAGTACATAAAATGCTAATACATCTTGCATTTCTCCTGCAGCTGACCTACTTCTAGGCAGCTTGATGATTTTCTGTTACCCCCCCCCCCCCCCAAAAAAAACATTGCGTAATAAAAACTTCACGTTGTCGAAGTGAAAACTAATTGAAGCAATTTTCTATCCAAGACTTCCCGGACTTCACAAAGCAGTCAGAACGTCCCTTGTTTTTCTTTTCTTTGGCCACTAGTTTTCATCTCGCAGTCTATGTGATCTAAAACTACAAGAGCCGGGCGTTCGGGGACCGGTGGACATAGGGGTGAACACTTGAGCGCTGACAGCGAGATAAAGCATCCAAGTTTCTGCATCTCAAACAGCCCAGAGATTTCATCAGGCCCGTGATGAATGCTCCATGAATAACACATTGTCACCAAAGGGCAAACGCCTGACTCAAGGTTGTGGACATTATTGACAATCTTTTCTGTCTGTTGTTTTTTTTTCTCTCTATCTTTTGTGTCTGTCGCAGTGTGTGTTTCTGCCTATCTTACTGTCTCCATCTATCGGAGTTGAGACTTCCAATTTCCAGCCGGAATTGGGGCAGCGATGAAGAACAAAAGACGACTTTAATGCGTTCCGTTTGCTTCCTGTCATGCTTTATTTATTTATTTCTAGACATGGGGTCTTTTTAAGCTCAGTGACATTTGCTCACTTGTCTGTGTCTGATAGACCTGTTCTTAGCAGAAGCACTGCTGCGGAAAGACAGGCGAGCTCTGTATCCGCAACAGTGACATACAGCAACGCGCTGGAAAAGGCAGAACAGTGCAACTTTATTTATTTCTGTCATGCCGGTGGGAAACAAGTGTCTGCACACTTGAGTCTCCAGTAATGGCCGGTTTGCTGAGTGTGCAGGAGCAGAAGCGGCGAGAGGGAGGGAAAGATCTCTCGGCGGGATGTCTGTTGGCCCCGGGCAACGCTCATCTTTTTATCGTCCGGTTGATCTAACTTTTTGAAGCGATGGATGAGTTGCAGGGAAGAGAAAAATCTAGAGAGGTTCCCACCTGATCATTTATATGTAAATTTTGACGCCATTTACTCACCGTTGACTTGTTTGTTTGTTGTTTTGTTCTGTTGAACACAAAAGAAGATATTTTGAAGAATGTTGGAAACCGGTAACTATTGACTTGTGTAGTATTTGTTGTTTTCCTTCTATCGATGTAGGGTGTTTGTTGCCCTCAGGCAACTCTCATCCTTCTACCGTCTGGTTGATCTTACTTTTTGGGATGATGGAGGAGTAGCAGGGAGGAGAAAATTCTAGAGAGGTTTCCACCTGGTAATTTAAAAGATATTTTAACAAAAAATAAAAATAAAATTCTGATGATAGTTATTCAGTGTTAACTTGTTCCAAACCAGTTTGATTTTTATTTTTGTTTTGTTTTGTTCTGTAGAACGCAAAAGAAGATATTTTACAGAATGTTGAAAAGCGGTAACCATTGACTTCTGTAGTATTTTTATTTATTTATTTATTTACTTATTTTAATGCAGGGTGTTTGTTGGCCTCAGGCACGCTCATCTTTCTACCGTCTGGTTGATCAAACTTTTTGGAGCGATGGATGAGTAGCAGGGAAGGGAAAATTCTAGAGAGGTTTCCACCTGATCATTCAAAAGGATAGTTTACCCAAAATAAAATAAATTCTGACATTATTTTCATTTTCCAAACCGGTTTGAGTTTTTTATTTTGTTCTACTGAACACAAAAGAAGATACTTTGAAGAATGTTGGAATATGGTGATCATTGACTTCTGTAGTATTTGTTGTTGTTTTTTTTTATCAAGGTAGGGTGTTTGTTGGCCCCAGGCACGCTCCTTCTTCTACCGCTTGGTTGATCTAAGTTTTTGGAGCGAAGGATGAGTAGCGCAGTAGAATAAATTCTAGATGTTTCTACCTAATCATTTTAAGGGATAATTCAACAAAAAACTTAATTCTGACATAATTTACTTAACGCTGACTTCTGACCGTTTGACTTTTTTTTTCTCTGCGGAGCACAAAAGAAGATATTTCGAAGAATGCTGGAAACGGGTAGCCATTGATTTCTGTACTACTATTTTATTATTGGATCAGTGTAGAGTGTATATTGGCCTCAGGCAATGCTCATCTTTCTGCCGTCCAGTTGATCTAAGTTTTTAGACCGATATATGAGTAGCAGGGAGGAGAAAATTCTAGAGAGGTTCCCACCTGATCATTTAAAAGTAAATGTTGACATCATTTACTCACCGTTCACTTGTTCCAACACTTTCTGAGTTTTTTTTTGCTTTTTTTTCTATAGAACACAAAAGAAGATATTTTGAAGAATGTTGGAAACCGGTAACCATTAACTTCAGTATTATTTAAAATTGTTTTTGCATATCGATGTTAGGTGTTTGTTAGCCCGGCAATGCTCATCTATCTACTGTCCGGTTGATCTAAATTTAGGAGCGATGGATGAGTAGCAGGGACGAGAAAATTCTAGGTTTCCACCAGATCATTAAAAGGATAGTTCACCCCCCAAAGAATATTTCCGACATCATTTTCTCACTATTGTCTTGTTCCAAACCAGTTTGAGTTTGTTGTTCTGTTCTATCGAACACAAAAGAAGATATTTTAAAGAATTTTGGAAACCGGTAGCCATTGACTTCTGTAGTATTTGTTGTTTTCTCTTTTATCAATGTAGGGTGTGTGTTGGTCCCAGGAACGCTCCTCTTTCTACCGCCTGGTTGATCTAAATTTTTGGAGTGATGGAGGAGTAGCAGTAAGACAAAATTCTAAAGAGGTTTCCACCTGATTAATTTAATGTAAATGCTGATGTCATTTACTCACCGTTGACTTGTTCCAAAGCAGTTTAAGTTTTTTGTTAGATGTTTTGTTCTGTTGAACACAAAAGAAGATATTTTGAAGAATGTTGGAAACCGGTAACCACTGACTTCTGTAGTATTAGTTTTTTTTTTATCAATGTTGGGTGTCTGTTGGCCTCAGGCACGCTCCTTTTTCTACTGCCTGGTTGATTTACCTTTTTAAAATGATAGATGAGTAGCAGAGGGAAAAAAATTTCTAGAAAGGTTTCTACCTAATAATTTAAAGAGATATTTCACCCAAAGATTTAAATTTGAACGATATTTACTTACGGTTGACTTGTTCCAAACCAGTTTTTTGTTTTGTTCTACTGAACACACAAGAAGATATTTTGAAGAATGTTGGAAACTGGTGATCATTGACTTTTGTAGAATTTGTTGTTTTCTTTCTATCGTTGTAGAGTGTTTGTTGGCCTCAGGCAATGCTCACCCTTCTACCATCCGGTTGATCTAACTTTTTGGAGCAATAGATAAGTAGCATGGAGGAGAAAAATCTAGAGGTTTTTACTTGATAATTTAAAGGCAAAGTTCACCCAGAAATTAAAACTCTGTCATTTTCCCATCATTGACTTGTTTTAACCAAGTTTGAGTTTTTCCCACAAAAGAAGATATTTTGAA